TTCACACCATCAATTAATTCCTTCATGTGCCCATGCTCTTAGACAGAGGAACACCCTGTTTCTGGATGGTGGGTGAGGAGAGGTGTGAGGGCTCTGTCAAAACAAAGCTGCTTCTGTGCATATGTAGTAGGAAAATGAAGTGGCTGAGAAACCTTATGGCGACAAACTGTGTGCCTGCAGTCTTCCCTGTGGTTTTGGCCACCTCAGGATGACTCACAGGCAGCACACTGGGTCTGCCTGGAGAACTGGGGAAAGGACCATTAGCAGAAACAGAAGATGGAGTGGTCAAGGTGTCATCTCCAACTCAGATGCCAACATCCCAATTGGAGTTGGTAGGCACCTAAAGCCTTTCTTCAAGGTTCTGTAGACACAAAAAGAAAAACAAGAAAAAAAAAAGGTCATAGATTGCTTCTGCAGGGCCAGGAGGAGAAATTTTGTGGAAGAAAAAAAAAAAGCTGAACTTGCTTCAGTGTTTATTGTATGGTTGGAGTTGTAGAGATGGGCATGCCCCTGAATCTTTGACCCAGGAAGCCTTTCTTTGCTTCCTGCACTAACACTGGGCTTAATCATGTTCTCCCCATGGCAGTATTACCAGATATCCTAACATTGAATTTTGCAGCTTAATTTTGCTGCTTATTTTTCCTTCAGGATTCTTCAGAGCTTTACTTTTCCTCTGTCTCCCTGGACGAAAGGAGGCAGGTAGCCACACTTCCATTCAGGTTGGGATGAGCAAGTCCCAAGTGCAGGGGATGTGCACTTGGGACTTGTTCCCCAAGTCCCAGTGATGGGGATGTGCGCAAGGGGCCAGGGGAAGCTGGGAAGCTTCTCCTGGGCATGGGAACTGCTGGCAGCGCCACCTCCACCGTTGCCCTAGCCCAGCTTTTGCAGCCACTGTCACAGAAAACCAAGTAAAGGGTTCTGGGTTAGCCCCCCAGTAGCAATAAGAACTGAGGTTGGCGCTGGGTGTTAAAAAACTGTCCTGATTCTGGAGTTTTTTCTCAGGGCTCAGATAAGGTGGGGGAGCTGCCTGTGCTCAGAGCCGATTGGTGTGGGAGCTAAAGCAAACTACATGGCTTAACCACAGGAACCTGTTTTCTCTCTGCACCGGAAACACCTGCCAGAAAGGCTGTGCTCACCCAGGCTGTACGAAGAAAAGCCCCACATGAGACTTCCAGCCCTAGAGCAGTGGGTCAGGGGGTGATGATCAGCACACAGGTTTGAACTGAAGGCAGCTTACTGTGCCATTTCACCAGCTGCATGGCAAAGAGAGGGGCACCGGGCAGCAAGCTCCTGGGAAAGGCAGTTCTCACAATGGCCAGCTCACTGGGAGGTGCATTTTGCCTACTGGCTGGAAAAAAAATGCCAAAAAGAAATAACCACACAACAACTGTTGCAATTTATACTGCAAGGCACTGGCTGTGGAGCTGCTGGCTCCGGCATGGAGCTATACCATGTGGTCCAACTGGCCCACACCAGTGCAATGTGGTGAGCAGCTCTTCCCTGAGCACCGTGGAGGGGATTGTGTGTGCTGGGTCTGCACCCACCCTCATCATCCAGGAGCAGAGTTGCTGCAGCACTGCCCTGGGGTGGCCTGGACCCTCTGTGTCCCGAAAAGGGGTACCACAGCCTCGGCCACAATGGTGACCTTGTGTTTCTGCAATCTTGGTGGTGCTACATGAGGAGGAGCAGTTGGTGGCTTTTGTCGCCTCTGACCTCTTTCACATGTGGTTTGCATGACAAAAGCCCAGGGCAAGTCACAGCCAGAGAGCAGGGACAGGCAAACCCTTGCCTAGGGAAGTGCATCCCGCAGAGAGGGGCAGCCTGTAGTGTGATTGGACAAGCAGTTAACCGTTTTTTGCCTCTTCCTCCTTTTGCAGATATCCACTGTACGTGATTCATTGCTTGTGCTCCCCTCGTCAGCATTTCTTCTCCAACAAAACGGAGGCTTGCCAAGCTGGGGCACACTTAAATGTCAAAGATCTGGACAGCTTTGGCAAGCTGCCGGCATCTGGTACATTTACATAGAATCATAGAATTATGAATCATAGAATGGTTCTCTTCATGTGTCTGTATGGGTGTCTGCAATTAGCACCTCTTGCTGAGTGATCACTTCCTAAGTGATGGCTCTGAGTGCTGAGCGCACTTGAGGCAGGAGAGTGGCATCGGCTTCCGAGCTACAGTAACCTAAACAGCCCACACTGCTGCTTGTTGTGAGCACCATGCAGTGCAGAGCAGCTCTCGGGACATGGTGGATGTTTCTCCTAAACATTGTTAGCATTTTGACTTGCAGTAAGTGGGCTTCCGTGAAGCTGCCCAAGTGAGCCGAAAGGGTGCAGTCCCAGCACTTGCAGAACCCACTTTGTGAACTATGTGGTGAGGGCCAGAAACGCCTGTGAAAGAACTAGCCTTTGGCAATCATCTCATGTCCAGGCATGAAAAGACCAGGGAACACCTGACGGTGAAGGCTTAAATATCCATTGAATAAATAATATCTTTATTAAAAATAAAAAGCCAGCCGAAAATACCCTGACACTAATGCGGACCTCAGTGGCAGAAAGATGGCCACATCCAGATATTCAGAGTTAGAGGAGATATTGCAACAGGAACAAGATGCTCCACAGACAGCACACATCATCTCTGTTCTTCCCATACTTGTGGAAGTTCATGTATTAACCCTAAGACATTGTACATGAGGTATAACAACAACAGTACATTTTCAATAAAATGTTCTGTGATTTTTATTGTTTAACCCCCTAAATGCTTTCATTCCAAACGTTAGTAGTAAACAAACTGTACAAAGGGCCTGTAGTGTGAGGGTGTGAGAGGTCATGTTGTCCAGCAACTGCAGATGAGAGGATAGGGTGTGCCATGAAGCGACCAGGCAACGAATGCTACAGCGTGCTGTCATGAAAGCCAAGCTGAGATGTAAGATGTGGTTCCTGACCTACTCTGACAGTAAATTTGGGTTTCTGAAGGAATGAGGGCAACATGACAGGAAGTAAAGAGCTGAGTAAATCTAAACGAGTGGTTTGTACTGGATATTGGGGTTCAGCCTATGCAAACTGCTGGAATTTGTGGCTAAAGAGTATCAGATTTTCCTTATAAATAAAACAAAAAGCTTCAATAATTTTGACATCTGAGCTCTCCAAATACAAACATTGTAGATTATAGTGCCTAAGGAATTTGTGTGCTGCATCCAGGCTTTACATTGGTTTACCTTGGCTTTTTGAGGACCTGTTTACCTGTCCTTTCACCCCACTCCACTACAGTTTGAGCCTGTAAAAGAAAGGAACAAGAATCTCTCAGTATAATACCTATCTGCATCTATCTGCTCACATTGCTAGGGTAAGGTGAGGTTAAATTTGTCTCTCTAATTTGTCAGTTGATTCCCCTTCATTAGAAAGTGTCTGCATTTCAGCGCTGTTGTACCCAATGGTTTACAGGATTTTCGTGCCTGTGATGTGCACAACGCTTAGCAACCTGGCAGGGAAAGCTCCTTGCAAGTTTTAACAGTACATCAGTTAAATTAATGTCATTTCCTTTCCCTTCCCTGGGTTTGTTACCTGGGAGTTGTTGCTGCAGTAACTTGGCCTCAGGATATATAGCAATTAAAACTATGGGTGGTTGCACTGCAGGAAGATAATGCCCCAGGAAGACTGCTTCACAGAGGTGTTTTTAGGATACAATTTGATGAGAACTTTTTGGCAGGAGAACCAACCTATGCCATTTTTTTACTTGACTTCAGTGGGGTTAGTACAACTTTTTGTAGATATACACAATAAAGTTAATCTGGTTATTTTTAATCTACATTTGTGTCTATATTTGCTTCAGGTTTAGTCAAGCAAAGTGTACCAGCACAGAGAGGGAAATTATAGTGGTGGCTTGGGGCAAGCTGGTACAGCTGTTGAAAAAACACTTGCCAACCTGTAGGTGCAGCACAGCCTTAAGCATTAGTTTAGGACCTCTTTTCCCTGTTGGGAGAAAAGTGACCATAGCCATTTGGAAATGCTTACAGAGCTGATAAAGAACCATCAGTGGCATTCAGCTGATTTTTGTGGTGCGTGGCTTTTTCCTTCCTCACACTGCTCTTCCCTGCTTGCCACTCTGACACACGGCTTTGTGAACACAAGCAAGACTGGGGCTTAATGTCAACATCACAGTGTGCTAGTTCTGCAACAACTTGTAGTAAAGCTGTAGAAGGAGAGCTACCAAGTGTTGCATGCTAGGGAATTAACAGATTGCTGTCTACTATTACAGCTCTGTCTTTGCAGTGCGCTCTGCATGGAGAGCAGAGCATGGGCTTTCTGTAACTAAAGACCCTCTTGGAAATTAGACTGGGTACTGAGAAGCGCAGTACCATGCCGGCCATATTCTGTATGCCTAGTTGTCACCTAGGCAGCTCCTGAACACACTGATGTGATGCACTATGGGGCATGTCATGACTTTGCACACCCTTGTTATGAAAAGTGACAACCTTCTTATGATCCTGCTTCTCAGATACTTGTTATTCAATTAAGAATCTTTCTTTAATAAATGCTCCAGTTACAGAATAAGCCATCTTCTATGTTCTCTGCTACAGTGGATCCTTTGAACCAAGCAGGGTCATCTTTGATGTATTAGCCACATTTCAGTTAAAGGCTACTTCTGGTCTGTATCAGACTTAAGTACATGCTTTAAAGAGGGATCCGTGAAGAATCTAAGAATTGTCAAGGGGAAAGCTTCTATAGGTAACGAGACAGACTGCAGCAGCAGCATCTGAGGTTTGATGCAGCTGCTACAGAACTGCAGTTAGGACAACAGGGTCAATTTTCCTGCTAGTGTCACACTCGCATAGCAGCTAAATTCCCTCCACACTCACAGCTTCCAATTACTGTCAGCTAGCTTTACTTCTCATTACATTAGACAATGAAAAAAGATGCATACTTGTATCGAGTTATCTTGTCACCACTGCAATGAGTAGCCTTTGAGCAGGGTCTAACATAAAGATTCTAGAGAAGGTCTTGAAAGAAAACAGTTTAATAGAAGATTACACAAAAATCAAACTACAATGAGAACAGACGTGCTGAGTAACATGCACACTAACCCACAAGTCACAGCAGCTTTAAAACTGTGATGGTCCACTCTCAAAGAATTCCAGGTGGGAAAAGTCACCTTGTACTAGTTACTTCCCTTCTCTGTAACTTTGCAGAGCACTTGAAGTTCAGTCTGTGTAAGATACATGATTTCTGCATTGCAGAAGATACCCCTTACTATGGAAGCCCAACAGACAGATGGAACTATGTCATCTTCAGGATCTTCACCACCAACATGCTGTTAACAGCTTCATCAGAATACCCATGAGAGACCACTCTCACGGTTCCCCAGCTGGAAGGAATGCACACCATAATGGTTTGGAGGGAGTCCAGCAAGGTCAAGAGCACAGTGGAAGACAGTTAGGAACTCCCTCTTTGTCACAGCCGTACTATCCAAGTGCACAAAGAGGGGGCCCTCTCCTTGTGGCTGTGCTGCCACATAGATGTGGAGAGCTTCAACAGGACATACCCACATCTCTTTATAGAATCTCAGTTGGATCAAATTCCTCTGTCGGCCCATATAGGATGTATGCAAACTAAGGTTTGCATTGCCTGCAGTCAGCTGGAGGTCACTCAAGTACAGGAGCTCTGGCTGCACTCTATGTCAGTGATTTGGCATCATCTCTTCTATACAGAGTGCACCCAAAAAAAGCCACAGTAAACATGGCACAGAACAATATACACTCATAAGGAGAGCTACACACAGATTCCAGAGTCCCCAGCAGAGACCTTAACACTTCAATAGTTACAGGAGAGTACTGATCATTTGAAGGGCCAGTCCTATGTTTTAACCCCGATATCCTGTGACAGATAGCAGGATCTTGAAGAGGATCAGGATGATCTACCATTCTGAAGATGAAGGACAATCCTTCCATATACATTATTATTTTTGCAGGAGGCAGATTCTGGGACTCCATGTTGATCAAGAACTCTTTCACTTGATCCACTGGAATTGGCCAGACAGAGGCATGCTTTCTCTAAAGGTAAGGAAATTCTTCAGGCCCTTATAGTACATGTGCCGTAAGTGGCTATCTCCCGAGTCCTCCAGTAACAGCAGAGCTTCCAGGGGCCAAGGGCCCAAGGGATGCTTCCAATGAGCCCAGCTGAGTTCAGCTGTTGAAAGGAAACCACATTAGCAAGGGCAAACAAGGTGGCCTCACAGATGGTAAAAGTTTCCTCCCCTTCAACATGCTTCAACTTTATTCTTGAACTTCTCTGGAATAAAAACTATCCCATGCATTCTTATGACTTTCATCTGCACAGCTTCCAACAGCCAGAGCACAGAAGGATTAAGCTCTCAAAAACCACTGTGAAATTTCTCTCTAAAGCAACACCTCGAGTCTGATGACAGATCCAGCACAGTACTGCAAGATTTCTGCAACCTCACATCTCCATCGATAGGCAAAATAGGCTGAAAGTGAGAAAACCACCACAAACCAGCAATGAACCCAGCAGCACACATTGATCCCAGAAGTCTTCGAGCACAAGATTCAGGCCCCATGGAAGCAGGTGGAAGCCTCTATCATCCCTCCCACCACACAGCCGGCTGACCCCAAGGCCACACTCACACTCACCAGCTCCTTCCCTGCTACCCGCCTCCACTCCACCGGGACCCTGCGGCCCAGCGCGGCCCCCCAGCCCCCGCGGCAGCCAGCTCATGCCGGGCTCCTACCACAATAGTGCCACCAGCGACCAGAAGGGCGAAGGGGCAGCGCGCGGCTCGATCCCAGCTCTCTGCATCGCCAACAAAACGGCACCGGCGCAGCAGCAAGCACGAAGCAGCAAACCCTCAGCCGTGCTGCCCTTTTACAGTCTGGCCCTTACTTCTAACCGATCGGAACGACCCCGTGTGCCCTCGCCTCTTTCTTAAGCAATGGCGGAGCAGCCTGTGCCTAAGGGACGGTGCGGCGCAGTCACTATCTTCCCCCGCCGCCGGGGCTGCCACGGCGAGGGTGGTATTTCACCGGCCCGTTATTGCCTTCATTGTGCCGTATCCGGGGCCTAAGGAAGGAGGCAGAGGTAACAGCGCGCGCCCGCGGCGCGTCTCCGCTGTGTGTCTGAGCCTCCGTAGCTCTGGTTGTGTTCTTCTGTGCCAATTTGTTGCAGAAATGACAACCTGCGAAGGTACAAACGCGGTACAGGACTGGATGGGGGACAGGAATAATGCTCAAAGCTTAAGGGAGGGGGTCCCCCAGGGACAGAGGTTGCTGGGGTCCCTGCCCTGCTGTGTTCAACGGGTGAGAGACAGGGCCAGTGTCCGGTCCACCCTCCTGGCTGCCTACCAGAGCAAGGCTCTATGAAAACATCCTAAAGTAGATGAGGACGCACAGGGGAATACCAAGTCAAAAGCTCAAGATGTCGGCTGTGGAGCCTGCTCACTTTGTTTTCTGTCTTGGATATCATCAGGGATAGCTGCCACGGGAGGGTAGCTATCTCATTAAGCTGAGCACAAACATCTAGGTATGCTATCTGTAATTAACAGCGAGGAATGAGTAGTTCAGAGCAATCAGCTGCCCTGAGCTGTTCTACAAGAAGCTGCAGAAAACCACATCTTGGAGAGCCCAGGAGAACAATGGGCGAGAAACACAAGTACTTCTCTCTTCTTTTAACCTTATCAGTAATTCTATCCGTATTTCAGACTCTAATAAGGAATAATGCAACAAATACCTGTGCTTCAAGCCTTTCAATTCGCTGGCCGAGCCCGGCTCCTCACAGTTCCACCCGTCGTTAGCGGCCTCTTCACACCCGCCCCGCTCCGCTCCGCGCCTGCTGCCCGGTAGGGACTGCATGGGGCGGGCAGCCAATGGCAGCGCTCCGGCTGGAGGAGGGCACTGGAGCGGCTCCGCGGCTATAAAACGGCCCGTGACGGCGGCTGTAGCAGTCTTCGTGTAGCTGTGAGCGGTGTGGTTGTGGTGCTTCGTCTCATCCTGTGATGTCCTACAGCGGCGGCGCTGCTGCTGGGCCTCTTGTTGGGCCTTTCTGGGAGATGTTGGCGCTGCTGGCCCAGGAACCGGGCATAGAATGGCTGGAGCGGGCCCTTGCTGGGCAAGCAGACCCCTTCTCGCGTGGCAGCCAAGGAGCAGCACGCAGGACAGTGGCGGTGGTGCGTCCAGGCGGCTCCCGGCAGTACGGGGAGCGCGGCAGTGCGGGGATCGGTAGGTGTGCGCTGTCCTCAGCGTGGGGCTGCCAGCATGTGTGGCAGTGGTGGCGCTCAGTGTCTGCCGCATCCCCTGTAGCCAGGGGCTGGCTTGTGGCTCTGGATGAGGAGTGAGGGGTGGCCGAGGCTTCCGCCAGGCTGCATTTCCTTGGGTTTACTACAGTTCTTGTGCGGGGCTGGAGCTTTTAGAAGGAGGCTTCGAGGGAGTTCCCTTCCTGGGCTGAGGGACATGCCACTTTTTGGCGGGAGTGTGGTATGCTCCCTTTGCAGTTGACTTCTATAAGCCATACTGAGAAGCCTTGGTTTTAAACTTGTGTTTTGCTTGTCTTCTCTATTGCTGCTCTACAAAGTTGTAAATTCCCAGAGTGTTACCAGATCTAGTGCCTGAATGGACCTGGTATGTTGTTTTTAGTTTCCAGTTTGCAAAATGTCTCGGCTCTGGATGTAGCTGTGTGTGGATTGTTTTTAATCAGATGAACAAGGGGAGCATTGTCTAAGGAACACTGTGTTTATTGCTGCTTTAAATGTCATGCTCGTGCTTGTCAGCATGTGCTAATGTGGACCCTCTCTTGCAGGGAGGGAATTCAGCTGCTCTCAGAAACATTCGTTGGGACCTTGGCCTCTGAAGACTTTGTCATTGTTGGAGTGTTCAGGGGATGGTAGGTTTTGGCAAGCCTGCCTCGAAGGACTGAAGAAATTCCTTGTCTATAGGAGAAGTATGGGAATGCCTGCAGCCTGGCCAATTCCAAAGGAGCAAGTTAGAGGATTTTTAACTGTGGAGTCTCTTTATTCACCCTCAAAGGCATTGGTGTATGTGGCAGGACTGGCTTATTTATCAAAATTGACTGGTAACTCTGATCCTCTGGGAGATCCTATCATACGTTTCATGGTGATAGGCCTGAAACGTCAAGCAGGCATCCTGAGAGATAAATACTTGCCTGTAACAATTGAGGTGTTGCGATCTCTCTTGGGTGCTCTGGAGTCTGTATGCATAACTCATTATGAATGTTTACTGTTTCGTGCATTATTTACTGTAGCTTTTTTTGGGGCACTTCGAATAGGAGAGATGGTTGCAAAGCACCGTGGTGTACTGCAGCCTGAGCTACTGCACCTGAGTGACCTCCAGCTGATGGAGAGGAGAGTGGCGTTTCATTTGCGTAACTCTCCTGTGGGTCAGGAGAGACATGTCATCAGCCTTGGGCTGTCTGAAGAGCCGTGGGTGTGCCCTGTTCTGGCTGTCCGGAACTATATGATAGTTCGTTCACAGCTGGAAGGGCCACTCTTTATCCACTTGGATAATACAACTGTAACAAAGAGAGACTTCCTGACTGTCCTTCGAGGGGCCCTGCAGCTGCTGGGGCTGTGCCCAGAGCAGTATGGTGTGCATTCCTTCTGGCTGGGGACTGCTGTCACTGCTGCATGCTGCGGGTATCCATGGGAAGATGTAACTCGCCTGGCAAGATGGCCCTGTATGGTCCTAGACAGACCATAGCTTTGGAGATGGACAAGAAAACAGAAGCTAATGAATTACCTTCTTTCTCTAGAGTTAACTGCATGGTTTCTAGTCTTTGGCATTAACACCTGTAACAAACTCATCTACCTCACAGGAGGATGATCTCTGAAGTTTGCTCACAGTGGCTGCTTGTGCTGTGCGTGGACCTTGTCTCTGTCTTGACAGAACAAGTCTTCAGGCAGTTTTATCTTGTATAATGTGAATTAATAAATGTTACCTTTTTAAAAATAGTCTTTGCCTGCTAATATTATTGCTTTTTGCCCAGAAGAAATTTGCTTTGAGAGCAATGAATGATGAGCAGGCTCTGAAGAGAAACTCTAAAATGGGAGGGAATTAAATTGCAGTATGTTTTTGTGTAGCTGTGCACTTTTTAACGCTAACATGTCACCGAGGTTAAAAGAGAAATATAAGCTATATTATTAGCCCAATAGCAGACAGCAAAGGATAAGTTTTTTAAAACATTGATAATCATAAGATGTTCAAAGTGATATCTGGTACTGTTTAAATGGGGGACAGCAGCCTTTATATTCAGCAAACTCTGCCTCCAAAAATATTTCATTTAATCCTCTAGGTAAATTCCCTCTGAGCATAATTAGCCTAATCAGCATTTTAAATAACAAAATAGCACATGGTTCACTTAATGATTTCCTTAGGATGTGATACTGTTCCTAATTCAACCTGTTCTTTTTCTTAAATTTTAAGCTACTTAAGATTGAGGAGTTGTTAACCACAATCATAAAGTACAATGTTTTGAGTACTCTACAATTTTGCAATTATAACATTTGTAATATTTTTATAGCATGTGGTGGAATATATTTTTCACCATATGGCTGGGCTGGGGAGAGAGTTGGTGGATCACAGTACCTAGCTGAGAACTATGGTGATCAAGATTTTTATCACCCTTATTACTATCACTGATCCAAACCTGGACCATGATTGTTGCTAAGTGGGCTGACTTTGTGTCTTGCTCTGACCTATACCCTTTTTCCAACAAAGCTATGGACCACAGAATTGTGGGAGCTAGCTGAAATCTAATACTGGCTTGATCTCCACGTGGCTAATTAGCTGTGATTTCTGAGACTTTTGATTAGAAAAAATTAACGTTATCTATGTAGGGCAGTGCCAATCTGCTGTTCTGTGCTGAGAGTGGCATTGTGTTCCATGGGGGAATTGACTATGGTGCAGTAAGACTTGTGGCTATGACTGTATTTGAAATCTTTGTTCTAACTGCATTTCAGCTAAAAGCTTTTTTTCTTTTTGTGGCTTTGTTCACTATATATGCTTGTTTGTACAGTCACTTCTGCTTCTGTGCATGAAATCTGCGTGTAGCTAGAGCTAAGGTGGTACAAATGTAGCATCTGCTCAGGGGCTTATCCTGAAGTGCCCACCAGCTGTTGGTTAGACTGAACAGACACTTGGAACATACCTGCGTAAGGAATTGCTTTGTGCTCTGCAGAAGTCTTGATGGATTTTTGCTGTCCTTGGGTGCGATGTGTCTGCTCATTAGCTTGGGCTTGTACCCAGGCGTGCCAACTTCTAGTACCGTCTTTTGCCTTGCTGTGAAAAGACCTATGTATTGCCTATATGTAGCATGGTTTTGCTTTGTTTTAACTGGCAATAAATTAGTTTTTCCCAGGTTCAGTCTGTCTTGCTTGTGACAGTAATTGAGTGATCTCCCCATCTTTAGCCCTCATATAAGTAGATCAAAGTAGGTGCACCATTGTGGCAGACCTGGGAGGTATCAAAATGAACTGGGTACAAAACCAGATCAGTGGATGTGCCTGACCATTTAACTTCTTGCTAGGATTTTTTAATTGTTTTCAGCCATAAACTGTGCTTCCCAAATGGGGACACAAGAAAGTCTTGCAAATATTTTTTATAGTGTAAATGGGTGTTCTAGTAAGACAAAAACAGCTGTATTGTGTAATATACATGCTATTTTTAAAGCTTAGAGGTATGCTTTAAGTCTGCTTTCTGGGGACCCTGGTATTTGGCAAATAAATGCTGTGATGATTGTTCTACAATACTGGGAAAATGTGTGTCTGTCTTATCTGTAATTTCTATGTTTTTGTGATATATGAAGCAAGAGAGAATAACCTTTGTTCTTATTTATACCTGCATTCTGTGGGTGTAGCTAGAGATTCTGGTCTTGTATCCATT